CTGGTAGTAGTGAAATCTTTGTGTGAGTTGTCCTGTTTTTGGTTCTTCTTTTTCTTCCGTTCTGATGTTTTGCCAAGGAAATCACCCTGATCTTTTAGTTTGGGTTTTTTTTTGGTTTTTTTTTTTGTTTTGTTTTGTTTTTTTGGCGTGCGTAGTCTGTCTCTCATAGTTTTGATAGTTTTTATTTATTTGTTTGTTTGTTTTTTAATTCTTTTTTTCCTGTCAGCCTCCCCTTTGGTTCAGCCCTTCTCCTAGTTTTGCCGTCAGTGCCATTATTATTAGCTAGTTCATCTGCTTGTAGGTATGTGTGTTTGTCTATGAGTTCGTTTGCACTGACACGCGTCTGTGTACAATATAATTTATGATGCATGTGTAATATACAAGCGCGCGAGTACGAGCACAGGAGCGCGTGTATGTTTTTGTCTTCCTCTCCCATCACTTTCTCCTACCCCATCTCCTCAATCTCTCCCACTGACTACCTACCTTCCTGATTTTCTAAAATTACAGAGACAGAAGCGTCGACCTACAAAGCGATCGGCGAAATAAAGAATGATCTCAAAACTGAAAAAACGAAGGGTGCCATGATCTGGGGAATATTTTAAAGAATATTAAGGCGAAAACCGCATGTCGATCGATGCAGCCATTAAAAAGCCTTTTAAATAGCAAAATTCGGCCACCACAAATAGATAACAGATAATATGCGTGTATGAGAGTCTTCACATGGGGGAGGCAAGGCGAAAGTTCATAAAAATAGGAGTCGAGCATCAATTCCTCTATCTCTTTGTGTGTGTGTGTGTGTGTGTGTGTGTATGTGTGTGTGTGTGTGTGTGTGTGTATGTTTGTGTGTGCGTCTGTATGTGTCTATATGTGTGCATGTTTGTGCGTGATTATGTGTGCGCAGCATATTATGTGCATTTGTATGTACGTGTATGTGTGCATGTGTTTGTGTTGTAGAAAGAGAGAGAGAGAGAGAGAGAGAAAGAAAGAGAGAAAGAGAGAGAGAGAGAGAAAGAAAGAGAGAAAGAGAGAGTTATTTAAGGAATAAACATTTGCATATACTACACATGTCTGATAAGTGATTACGCGTAATTACTGTGGCTATTTTTCAGGGATTTCAAGTAATTC